CTGAGGAGGCTCGGCTGTGTAGCCGAAAAGTTGGTCCTAGCTCTAAATCAGGCGAGTGGCTGTGTTCACTCTCTGCTGCTTCGGCTGCGTCCACTTGCTCCAAATCACCGCTGCTGCCTGCGTGCTCGACGCGTGCTTCTGACGCGAGGCTGTTGCCCAACCCTGATGCAGTACCGGAGTACTCAGGGTTATCAAGCCACAGAACCTCCTGCTCCTGCTCGTGCTGCTCACTGACGGGTTCCAGTCCTGGGTGAGGCTGCTGCTGCTGCTGAGCAGGGAGGGGCGGACCCTTCTTCACTCCCTTTTGTTGCTTTGCGTGACCTTTCCTAGGGCGTGCTGGCGCAGTTGAATGCTCGATGGACCCTGGGGGCCGAGCTGAGCGGTGGGGATTGACGCGACGTAGAGAGTCCGCCAGCGCTCAAAAGATGATAAGACTCTTACAAGGCTCTAGTGAGAGCGCAGTGTTCAGTGATGTCCGGTGACACTATCTCACTGATGAGTCTGTATGGCCGGAGCCTGTGTGCACGTACGATAGTCCTGGGACACACACCAACGCCGGAGCGCTTGGTGGCTGGGTACGGCAAAGATTAATAGTTCTCCAACAGCTAGGGCTCGGCACACGGATGCACCACTAGAGCCACCACTAGCTGGTTCCACACTTAATATAATCACACAAATGTGCCCGATGGGCGCGTGGAATGCCAGACAACACCCAGGAGCTCGGAAGCTCCGCACTGAAAGGGGTGCTTCGGCTACGAATCCTGACTCACTGCTAGCCAGATCAACCACGCCAAAAGCTCACAAGCTGGATAATAACAGCAGCTTTGCGGCAAATCAAAAGAAAATGAGAACGCGACAAGTAGGCACTGATGCCACGGATGGCTGCCGCCGGAGGGTTGACGCGCCCGCGCTCCTCACGCTGGTCGGAACCAGGCGAAGAAGTAACTTGAGGTCGATTAACACTGCGTATTCGATGTGCCTCGGAAGGCTAACGAGCTGTGTTGGCTTAGTGCGCGGACGCGAAAAGCCTTGCTCAATAGATGGGTAACACCACTTGGAGAATATACAGCGACGGATCGCTTTCAACAATAGCTGCACAATAAACTCGGGGTACTGACGCCCGATCCCTTGCTTCTCACGGCCGCCTACTTCAGGACGACTCGCCGACCTTCTCGGTCGTTTGGCTGTGGGGTAATGATGATGATACAATACGATAGGAGCTCTCCTTGAAGCTCCGGCTTGACTTGGCTGACTCACTCCAGCTTCGTTAACTTGATTTGCGCGATCGCATTAGGCGAGGACGGGCTGGGAACGGATCCCTGTCGAGCCTAGAGGTAGGAGCACTAAGGGCGGACCTTATGGAATGCTGTGTGTACACTCTCTGTCTATCCTGCTCTGCTGCGCGTGTCGAGGTAGGGTAGGATTGCAGTCTTGTTACACCAAACAGTCCTATCAACCCTCCTATAATTATATTATCTTCAATAATATAATGGTCTATACGCTCACGAAGAGTTGCTTCGAGAGCCAAACGACAAATGTTTGGCCTCTTCGCACTCACATTTATGGCGAAGCACCGACTGATCCACGCCGGGCCTTATCACACCCGGCCCTACCCTGGATGCGTAACGCTCATCCGACTCACGACAGATAAACGACAACCTAACATCTTCAAATCATAACGGAAGCGCCTTATACGCCACCCAAAGTCTCAAATAAATCAACACGCGGTTCGCCTTACTACCTTCGGTTGGCTTAGCCACCTGCGGATAGCGACTAACTCGGTCGTGGCACGTAATTTGTGCGCTCCAGATGTTTTGGCGTGACAACGGATTGCTGGCGTACCATGCGTGTACTGCCTAAAGAGAAATAGCATTATCATTATTCCGAACACCAAGTCATCCACATAGTAACATGGACGCATGTGTTAACACTACCTTCCATGCGAAAAGAATAGGCTAATACGGGAAACCTAACAAGGGAACCGCAGGTTGTCATTCGCCAAACCTAATACCATGCATACACATAACTCTGGCAATTCTGCATGTTGAAAGAACATGTGCCCCCGAGATGTTTGGCCGTAATCTCATGAATGCTGCCGAACATCTCGGGGCACGTGTTCTTTCAACATGCAGAATTGCCAAAGTTATGTGTATGCATGGTATTAGGTTTGGCATAACATCGATATCGTCATCCAAGCAGGCTGCACAGATATATAGCCATACAGTTACAACAAAATCGAGATAACTACAATGCATAGCAACTGCGAGATTTTTTTTCCACCTGTCTTGCAGCCTTCAACTAGAGACATACTCTACAGTACTGTAAGGTGGTGATGCAACTGTCTTCAAAGGCACATGTGATGGGGCCCCTACCATCATCATGTTTGCCTGGTATATTCCTGATCAGGCAGCATATTGGAGAGAGATGCAGGCATACCAGGCACACCAGTACAGCTGCCGCAGCTCAACAGTGCCGCAGGTGCAGATACTCATGGCAAGACTGAAACTAACCTGCGGTATATTGTACTAAGGGCCCATCAAGGATGGCTAGCTACTGTCTAACCTCCATAGTCGAGCGCTGTCATTCTTGCAGCACCCTCATTGAGCCCTCATTACAGCATACCACAGGTTAGTCTCAATCATGCCATGAGACAGCATCTGTGGCACTGTTGATCCCTGCAGCTGCACTAATGCCTGGTATACGCCTGCACCTCTCTCCGATAACCTGCCTGATCAAGAATGCCCAAAACAAACATCTTGATAATGGCAAGGGCCCCATCACAAGGGCCTTTGAAGACAGTTGCATCACCACCTTCTGCCAGCAGGTCATTGAGCTGCAGCTGCACAGATGTCTCTGGTCTGTCTCAGGTCCACACCGCTGGCAGGTGCAGTACTACTAGTTGCATTAGCAACATTAATGTTATGGGCCAGACAGCAGAAAATATGGGAAAAAAACCGCATGCAGGTACAACCATGCTTAACGCACGTGCCAGCAACTGGACCAACTTAAAAGCATGCTGGATATGTTTGGAATCATAGCTACCTTAGCCAGAGAAGACATCACCTGACCACGCTTACAATAATATGACAAAAATTGCAGACCGTCCGTGAACAACTACAAGTACGACAACAAACTAACGAACACCAGGACGAGTGTTGCACCTCACCTTTTACGATTGCCCTCTACAAAGAGTCTGGCTTGCTCTCTCTATCAAAAGCCGCCTGGTTTGCAAAACAAAAAAGGCGTCATGCTTGTCAACTGGCTTGGTCTGTAAAATATATGCTGCAGCTGCATGCAGCTGCATGCCATGCATACATCCATAAATACCGTGCAATCAGTCAAGTCACCTAATGAAATGTGGAGACATGTTGGACTCCTCCATAGTTTATTCCTTTCAAATGTATACCTTTTTACTCACGACTTGCAGAAGTCCATGCAATGAGAACCAGGCACGGAGAATAACGACCACAAGAACCCTGATAGGTGTCCTTGCGGCACGGCATGGTTTTTTTTCCACAACCCTGTCATACAGCAAGGACTCCAACTTCACCTACCCGGCAAGGCAAAAATATACTGACGGCCCTAAAAGAAAAAGCCATACGGCAAGGCTAAGGCTTTATCTCATTCATCCCATGGGGTGCTAAAAGCAGTGGTAACCTGTTCAGGCTATCTTTGTCGTGGTTCGCGAGTGGTTCGCGCCATTCATGTGGTGAGTGCTGTGCAGGTGGGCGGCATGGCGCAGGAAGTTGGAGTCATCCCCCAGAGCGACCCCGTGCAGCACCGCACTGGTTTCCATGACCTCGATGAACCTGCAGAAGTGGAGATATATGAATATCTGTCTGTATGTCTGTCTGCATGTGTACAGGCAACGGAGAGATTAGGCAGGGGGATATGAAATAATGCAGCAGTAGTGTATGCTCTTCAGCCCTGGCATCACAGGAGTCGTTCAGACTCCGTTGTAACATTGGAGGAGCCTGCAGGTACCCACATGCGTCGCATGGACCGGCCGAAACTAGCCGCTTCAGTTTAAACATTGGGCTGCAAAAAGGTCTTCTAGAATATGAACATGGGGTCAGAGCTGGTGATGTGAATGTATGGATAATTCGATGAAACGATTAAACTAGTAAACGATGAAAAGCACCCATGTACACGAGTAAAAGCCAGGAAACATTGAATGTGTTTGCACGGCTGGCGCTGCCTCCACGGCAATCCTCCCCCCCTCCTCAAGCAAGGGCACACAAGCCGAATGCGTCCATTGTTATTCCTGGCGGACTATTGAACGCCCGTGGCTTTCTAGCTCACTGCACTCACTCGTCAATGTCCAAGCGGTTTTTGCTGTTGCCAACGGCCTCGCTGATTTGGCACATATCAACATCTGTTAGCACGGCACCCAGTGCTTCCATGCCATCTTGGAACTCAAGCATGCCGATCTCACCATCCTGCATGTGTGTGCAAGTCAACCACAAATCCAAGTTGTGCACATGTATGCAGATAGGCAACGTAGTCGATGTTCTAATGCAACACCAGCACCGCAGGAGGAAGGCCATGAGCAATACAATGCGCGAGTCACAATTTCAACATTTCCGGCAACAAGCTGTGATATGTAATCGCCGACAGTTCGGTACCCAAGCCGGACCACGCCCTCACCCCGTCGGTGTCCAGCACGTGGAACAACCTGATCAGGCAAGCCCGCGCATGGACTTCCTTGTCGGTCATGGCAGGTACGGCAGACGTCGTCCTGGCGGTGCCGTCTGCCGCGCGGCGCTCTTCAACACGTTGCATAATGAGCAAGTTTGTACGCATATTTCGTACACTGGAGCAGGAGGCGGGTAGGAGGAATACACGGTAAACACGTCACAGGGTCTTACATATGGCAGCAGACAAGACCCTCACGTGGCAGCATAGATGCAGAGCAGCAGAGGAATTCGGCGTTTGAAAGGACTTCGCAGGTCTCCATCCTGTCTTAGTAAGAAAGAGCGCGTCTTCGGCACAACAGTGCACAGGGCATAAGTGCTACCATGGTGAAAACCAGGTGTTCATTTGGGTCTCACCTGCCCGTGGACATTTGCTCGCGCACAAACTTTTCAAGGCCGTTGAGGGAGGTGCAGGCCTCCGGGTCGTGTTCGCCTTCATCGTTACTCAAATTGCAGTGCAGCTCGAACTGCTGCCGCTTCGAAACAAAGTAACTCAACGCCTGCCGGTGACAGCGAGCCAAAATATTCACGATCGGAAAGCTGCCAGAGAGGCCCGCTGAATTACACTTTGGGCATGTTGCGCGCAGTTGGACTGGGTTTGGGTGAAGCTACCACCTACCTTCCAGCACTCCAAACCGTCCTCCGCTTTGCAGAGTTCCGTTAAGTCTTGCTGTGCTTGGTCCTGGGGTTACAAGATAGAATATTTAGGCGAATGGGATGGAAGATTATGGAAAGCTTAAAAGCAATTAGGGATGAGCAGTACCGACCAGCACAAGCTCCGTCTCGGAGCGCTTTGGATTTATGTTAGATAGCGAGACAGATGCTTTCAGCGATTCAGGTTCCTGTCGTCTGTTTGAGAGATCCACATTCTGGTGCAAAGGTGACGCCTGCACTACAAGCAGGGACTTGCGGGCGCGACGCCAGCTCGAAATTACGTGCGGGTTCCGGAACTTTGACAGGGACAGTGCATCCATCTTTGCAGTAAGGTATAGGATTCTTGATCACGTATTAGATTGTAATTTGTCCCAATAGTATGCCAGATATGCTCCATGTACATTGTCAAGTTGACGTCAGCCGTGTGTACGGAAGGCATGGGAATTGCTCACAACTTCCGCAATCTTCAAATATCCATCTTAAATCCTTCTAGGAAATGCTGTTTTCACACTCATGCTTCGATACGCGGAAAAGGCGTTCAGCTTTGTCGCCAATAGATTCTTATTCGATGTCTTCGTTGTGCAAAACAACAAAGGCCAAACAACCCTACATGTGGAAGCAGCGCCCGGCCTGACGAGAGCAATGGGGTCAACTGTGCCATAATGATGGTCCTGCCCAGAGCTTAGTTACACGTGTGCATCACCTATTCGTAGGTTTGCACTTTTTCAATAGCCATACCTATAGTTAGTGGATGTGAGGCTTCCTCTCAGTTCCTCGAAGCCTCTCAAAGCACTCGCCTTCCCTGGGGTCTCTGCCTATACGCCTGTTAGGCTGTCTGCCTGCCTCACTGCCTGCCTGCCTCAGCTACTGCAGTATGAGAATGCACGAACACGAAACTCCCACCACCACCTACCATGTCCCAAGATCAAGCCATCCATCCTCCTGGTGAGGCTTACTCTACACTAACCCCTTTCCCAACCCCCAATAACAACAGCCCGGAAAAAGCTTCTGACTGCTTCCGCCGCTAATACAAGGGAAAGCACATGGTGCAGCCCGTGTCCTTCATCAGTTGTCACCTGTAACCACACCCCCTCCTACGAGTACATCAGCCCAACCGCCCGAGGTCCTCGGACAAGATCCCACAATCCGAGCAGCAGTCCATTTGATGGTACAATACCATGCCCCGCGCGTACAGTACATATCTTCACACACGATATGGCGACGCACGGATGCACCCCCCACCTAACACATGCTGTCCCACCGCTTCCTCCTCCACTCAGACCGCCACTGAAAAGGTACATGGACCCAAGAGAGGACAAACGCTAACCCATATCTAGCTATTCATCACCCGTTCCCGCCCGTCTGTCCTCCGCAAAAACACACACACACGCGCACATGAAGACTCTATCAGCCTCTGCCCAACCTCTGTCCAAAACTGTCACGACACAGCGGATGAATCCTGAACACCGTGCATATATTCTCTATTGCCTCCGCTCCCTTCCCTTCCCATCCCTTGCGCACAAAGCCCCAAACGCATAAAGCCCCAGACGCCTTAATCGTCGCCGTCGTCACCGCCACCGCCGCCGCCCTCTCCCGCAGCTTGTTTCTTGCTCCGGAAGGCCTCCCGTAACTCCTTGAAGCGCTTGAAGCACTGCGCCTTGGTCTTCCCGGGCACCAGCACCGCCACCGCGTCCCAGCGCTCCGCCCCCAGCTCCTTTGGACACTGCTTCAACGCCGCTACCAGTGCCAGCTCTTGTGCCTTCGGATGAGGATTATTCCGGTTCGGGGCAGATTGGAAGCGAAATTGGCGTTTGGGATTGGGTGGAGAAGAGGGACATTGTGGAGAGGGCGTTTGGCGGGAGAGAGTGGGCAATACCCCGGGCAGCGCGACGGGGCAAGGACAGGGAACAGAGAAACCGCATGGCAGGGAGTCGGAGGGTGGTACGCATACTGGGCGAGAGCAGTGCAGTGTTGGGACCCGCCGTACCGCACTGCGCGGTGCCTGGGGGCAAGCCAACCAAGCTATTCAACCACTTCCATCCGTCTCTTCATCCGTCCACTCCTTCCCTTCCCTTCATTGAACCCCGGGGAGCAAACCCGCCGGCCGGGGGAATAACGCCAGCCCGTCTGCCTCCCCCCTCCCCCCGCTTCATTCGCTTCGTGGCTCGTCTTCCCTCCCCCTGCAGCGCTTGCCCCTTGAAGGACCCACCCTGGAGTCCCAAACATATTACCGGACACTTCCCCTTCTCTACAGGCGTACCTCACTCCACGCGCCAGAGTCTGCCACCGCCGCCTTCTTCACGCCTTTGGCCGCCGCCGCCGAGGACGCCGTCGTTGCCCCTGCCGCTGCCTCCGTGGTTCCCTCAGATGGCGCCCCTGCCGCCGTTGCAGTCGCCGCTGGGGTCTTCGCAGCCTTGGACCTGGCACTCGAGCTGCTCGGGGATGCGGGTGCAGCGGGGGTGCCGGTGGAGCTGCCGCCACTGGCGGCAGCCTTCGCTGCAGGGGCTGCGGAAGCCGCCGCTGTCGCTGTTGCTGCCGTTGCCCCCGAGGCCGACTTGGCAGCGGGCTGCATCAACTTAATGGCTGCCTCGCCTGTCAGCTTGACCTCCACATCCGTGAACGCCTATAGCAGGGACAGAGTGTCACAACTTAGCGTGTGCAGCGTCATAGTAACGCCCTCGCCCTACACATGAAACGCATGTAGGCGTACCTCGGCGCGCGTGTCGGCTTGTGCCCTAACCTCCGCTGGCTTCTTCTGCGCGCCTTTCCAGTCCTCCTGCGCCTTCATCCTGGTGGCTGAGGCCCCCTGCCGGTCCTTCACCATCAACAACACCTCGTCCAGGGTGCGAGTGCGGACGAAGGCGGCCACCGCCTCCCACCGTTTGGGGGTACCCTGGCGCAGAGCAATAGCATAACACCGACACGGGCCGTGTAGCGGTGGTAATGGCGGTGATGGTAGACGGCCCGGTGGGCCAAATGGCTAAAAGCCACCTAATACCGCACAGCCCAACTGCAATTCAATCCACTCCCCTCCCATTCCGTCTCCTGAACCCCTTCCTTTCTTATCCAGTTGGACGGGCGTGAAATTGAAAATGGCCTTGCAACCAGCCAGGAGCGATGAACCACCAGCCAATCCCCCAGCTCGCACCAGCCAGGCATCCCCCGCAAGGCTGTGCCCAGCTCAGACCACCCTACCATCGGGAACTTGTTACAGGCCTTATCAAGCAGCCGAAGCTCCTCCTCGCTCCACTCGCGCATGGCCGCCATCTTGCGGCGGTGCTCCTCCCGAGCTGCCACTTTGGCAGCCAGCTCCGCCTCCCGCTTGGCTGCCTCGCGCGTCCGAGCAGCCTATACGTCCGGTGCAGTAGCAGTAGCCAGCGGGCAGCCATCAAGTCACCCGTCATGTTATTTCGCCACGACATCCTCAGGCACACATCAGGCGCCTCCTTCTTAGGAGGCGTTCACATACAGACATGCAGACATACGGACATCAAAACCCATAAAATATCAGATAAATATACGTCCAGCTGACGTAATGGGGGCTAAGCTGCTGGCCGCGGAGGGATAAGACAGACGGACAGGCAGTCGGGGTCGCTACCTGATAACCCGGTCTCGAAATTAGGTCGTCATGATCTTCCCCTTGCCGGACCATGCCCAAACCCCGGAAGTGCCCAATCGCTGTCCAAATTTCGCCACGTCAACCCCCCAAGTCAAACCCCACACCCATCCATTCACCTCCTCCTCCCGCTGGTCGATGCCCCGCAGAGCCTCCGTCAGCAAACCTTTCTGCGCCGCCGCCGCCGTCTCCCCCTCGGATATATCGCAGCTACTGAGGGCTTCAACTAGCACAGCCAAAGCCTCGGGCTGCAGTCCACCATATCGTCATCCACCATATCGTCATAATATGTACATCGCGCACCGAGCGCATGTAGGGGGAACGAAAGGGAAGGAAGGGACGGAGATGGCGAGTCCATGATTATGTTGCATGTACCGCAGCATCACAGAAGCCCAGCACATTGCACCCATACGGAGGAAACCGGGTGGCGGTCAAAGCGTCCTATGAGGACCAACCGGGATGGCGCAGGAGTGCCGACAACACTCCGCCGTAATGCCGCACTCCACTCTGCTCTGTGGTCCCCCCGGAGAAAGCACCTTACGTACATACGCACATACCTCCAACTTGGTGATCAATTTCTCCACATCGTCCTCGCTCACCAACCGGGCTCCACCTGGACAGACAGACAGACAGACAGACATGGGCCCGTCACACACGCAGGCAGGCACTGGGTCAGGAAGATGGCAGGCGTACTGCAGGAACCACAAAAACACACGCACGTATATACACACACACGCCGGCAGGCTCGTACACGTGTGTGCGCTCACCGCCGACATCTGCCATTGTCCTGATAAAAAACCAGAACCTTGTGGCTCAAATACGTTTAATACTTGAAACTGTTCTAAACTAACAACATACAAGTACTGTATTACACCGCGAGCACCGTTCCCTCTGCCCTCTGCCCCACCCCTCCACCCGCACCCGAGCCCTCGGCGACCGTCCGCAGCCTCTTCCGGAGCTGCTTCAACTGCGCCTTGACCGCCTCGCGCTGCTTGCGAGCCTCCTCAGCCACCCGCTTGGCCTCCTCCTCGGCAACCCTACGCCCACCAGCGCACACATACATACATACATACATACATGCTCGCACAGACAGAGGTAGCTTCACGTCATCAACACGATACACGCGCAGAAACGCAGCAAAGCCAGGTCATGGCGTCTCATGTGCGTCATCAACATCGCAACGCAGCGGCAGAGCAGTACGAGCAGGAGCAAGCGCGTGACAAGTTGGCTACCAGGCGACCGTATCCCGCAGGTCGGAAGTCAAGGTCCACGGCATATTGAGCCGAGCCGGAGGATCGACCGTGCTGGGTAGAGGTGAGCCGTCAACGTGCCACCTGCCGAGAGGACTGTGGACCGAGCGCGAGAGCCGCTGCTCGCTTGTTTCGCCGTGTACGACATACGTACATACATAGACATACACTCATTCCCCACCTGCGCGCCTCCTCTTCGGCCGCCTTGCGCGCCTCCTCCTCCTCCTGGGCCCTACGTCGCGCCTCCTCCTTCTCCGCCTTCTTGCGCTCCCTGGCCCGTCGTTACCACCACCATCACAACCACCGTCACCACCGCCAGCAGCAGCAGCAGCAGCACATTGGGGGATAAAGAAGAAGGGGTATACGGGGCAAGGCGGGACACCCGGATGTCATCCGCACAGCAATCCGCACGCCGCCTCCCCTCCGGAAGCAAGCAAGATGTACGGCAGTACGCAGAGCCCTGAACAAAGTACTCCAACTGGTCGTGAGGGTGAGAACCTGAGCGGCCTACATACATACATCCGTCGCCCTCCCACCTCCATTACTTGCGGTACACAGCTACCCCCAACACAGCAATGCAGGGGGGGTGCACGCGCACGTGCCCAGACCGGGCGCACGTGCCCAGACCGACATGGCAGGCACGGGCCCCATCCCCCCACATCGAGCCGACCCTCCCCCCAAGTGTGGCAAGCACACCACATGGCATCACACCAACACCAGTACCACTACCACTGCTACTGCCTGCCAACCAACCAACCAATCAACCCAGCCCAGCAACCCACCGCTCCAGACGGTCCTCCTCCTTCTTACGAAGGACCCGTGGGTCATGTTTGTAAGCTGCATCCACGAACTCCCGCAGCCGGCGTCCCTCCTCCTTCTTGCCCTTCTCACGCAGCTTTGCGTTGTTTCTATGCGGGGGTGCGGTGGGTGCGGTGGGTGCGGGGTGCGGTGGGTGCGGGGGTGCGGTGGGTGCGGTGGGTGCGGTGGGTGCGGTGGGTGCGGGGGTGCGGTGGGTGCGGGGGTGCAGTGGGTGCGGGTGCGGTGAGGATGTGATGTGATGGGACGGGACGGGACGGGGACAGCGGAGGAAATCAGGACGCGATGCAAAAGTGAACGAGCAAAGTGAATCAGCTGCTGATGTCGTCCATAGCTGCGAACGCAAACTGATGAAGGCGTCCACTTCAATAAAGATAATGAGAGCTATAACTGGTCTCGTTAGTTCCGGAAGCTCAGGCCCCACAGCCGAGTGACGACAGAAGTGGACGCAAAAAAGGGATGTGTGTCACGCAGCCGGCTGATCAGTCCTGTCAGCCGATGTCCTGCATGCCCAATGCTCTCTAAAATCCAAACCACCCGTAGCAGGTTACGTGAGCAAAGGGGGCCCCCTCAGTTGGAAGGGGCGGGTGAAGTGGCGGAGGGAACGCAAACCCCCACGGAGAAGGGGTACGGGGTGTCGGGTGGATGGCGGGGGGGGGGACGGGGGCGGCTCTCACCGCTCAATCCAGCGGCGGTGCTCCCTGCTCTCCGCCGCCTCCACGTCCTCCTCGTCCGGATGAGGGAACTCGCGCCAGGATTTGAACGTGTACCTGCGGAGTGGAGTGGAGTGGAGGGTGAGGAGGAGGAGGTGAGGAGGAGGAGGTGAGGAGGAGGACACGCGTGTGTGTGTATGGGGAAGTTTGGTTGGGTTGGGGGGTGATGTGGGGGGTTGACGGCGATATGAGGGCGAAGTGAGGCACTAAGAGGAGAGAATCTGGAGGGCAAACAGACAGACAGACAGACAGGCAGGTAAGCCGGCTCACATATACAGGGGTATTGATAAGACGCTCACCAGAAATCATAGAACTTGGACACGTCCCCCCAGGGGGTGCTGTCATCCCCGACATCCGGTACGGGCTCCACGGTGGACCAGCGGGCGTTACGGCGGAAGGCGGGACCGAACACCTACATGCGTACGGGCGTACGGCGGTAGGTACGTACACACGGGCATGCACATACACGGCAGGCGGCAGTTTGTACACTGTGTTGGGCTATATTGCGACTTCACGTGGAGTGGGACGCAGAGGCGGGGCCAGGGTGGAACCAGCGGCGCTTTGGAAGCGGCAGGTGGGGAAAGACGAACCACGAACGGGTGAAGCGGCAGGTGGGGCAGGTGGACACGGGGAAGGGGAAGGTGACGGCAGTTCCGGACTACCAGCGGTCGGATCCGCAGACGCCCTCCCCCCGGGAGTGCCATCAGGGTGAGGGGACTGTACGATAGGCAAAAAGCCAGGAGGAGGAGTCATCTTTCGGCGGGCCCCCAAGTACCCAAAACTGCTGAGTATAGGAGTCCACAGTGATGGGGGGAGGAGGGGGGAAAGACGAACCACACGCGATTGAAGCTGCTGCCAGGGCAAGATAGTAGCAAACGTAAAAACTGACCGAAAGGGGAGGAGGGGGGGGGAGGGAGAAGAGAAAAAGGAAAACCATGCAAGGTCGCAGGGGAAGGGAAGGTTTGTAAATCCGGACGGACGAACAGAACGTGTCGGGCGTTCCAGTAAGGTCTGGTCAAGTCTGTTCGGATCGGAGTCATGGAACCCAAACCCCGTCTGTCTGTCTGTCTGTCTGCCCGTGGGCCGCATGCCTCCCTCCGTGTCCCACCTTCAAGAAGTCCTTCGGGTCGCACTGCAACGGCAACGTGTCGTCAAACTCGTCCGTTGAGTCAAACTCCCTGTCCACGGCAAGTATGACGTGCGTTATACTTATAAAGTTTTGTCTTTGGAACATCAAAACTGATCAACGTGAAGGAAACAGTTGGGCAAGTATGAATGGCTGGTGTACAACTGTACGAGCTGTACGGATGTGTGTGTCAAGAGGGGTAACATGCGAAGCGAGAGCGATGGCAGAGATGGGGGAGCAGGTGAAAGGCGGTAAAGGAAGTGATGTGGAAACGCCGCCAGCTCGAATAAACAAACAGACAGACAGACAAACAAACCAATTACATGGCTCCTGAAATTGAATAATATTTCAAGACCTCCTAACTCCAGCTTACCTCCGCTTGGCTGGGTCGCTAAGGATGTCGTACGCATCCTGGATGGTTTTGAAGTGCTCCTACACGGGATTGGGGCTTCGGCAGTTGGTACTTTGGCAGTTGACAGTTAGCAGTTGACTTTCGCTCCCTCTTGTGCCTTAGCACGCCGCCTCTTCCCCTAGCCCCATCCCTCAACCCCCCATCCCTCAGCCCCTCGCTGCTCTAACCAACAAAAACTGCACCAACGGAATCTCCAACCGACCCCGCACGAACCCCTAGCACACGCACTCGCCTCCCTCCCCTTTTACCCATTAGTTGGGCTTCCGGGCAATCCGCCCCTCCCTACCCATATACCCCCCCAAGGACGCCGGGCCCATTCCCGCTCGCACTCCCACGCCCCCACCCACCACAATGCGCTCCCGCTCCGCCTCGTCCGTGACATTAATGAGGGCCTTATCCGGGTGGTTCTCCAGACATGTCTTCCGGTAGGCCGCCCTGATCTGGGCCTCGGAAGCGGTCCACCGCTCGTTGGCCAGTCCGAGCAGAGAGTACGGGTCCGAGCCGTCCTTCTTCTTCACCGCCTTGCGCTTACGAGCCTTGCTACCCTTCCAGTCCACACTGCCGTTGTGTGTGTGGGGGGGGGGAGCCCGGGGGGGGGGAGAAGGGCCGGGGCGCGCAAGGCATTGCAGCAGAGGACGGGAATCGTACAATGATGATGATGAAGATGATGATGATGGTGGTGGTGGTAGTGGTGGTGGCATCTCCCCCCCTTTCCCTCCCCTCCCGGCTTTACCCCGTGTGCGCCGTTCCAACCCCACCCGTCCCTCTGCCAGCCCGTCTGCACATCCGTATGTTTATCTGTGCAACAGCCACGGGATCAATCGTCGTACACAGCGCCCCCCGCTTCCGCTGTCGCTCGTCCCCTTTATGACTCACCCCGGTGGGGGCTTGTCCGAGTCAGCACCCGCGGCAGCCGCCGCTGAGGCGGCAGCGTCTGCTGTACCATTGGCGTCGGCGTCGGCATCCTCAGTTGGCGTGGGATCCTCTGTTTTGCGTACGACAACAAAACCCGCGTGCGACATGCACGAACATAAGCACACGCAAGCACACACGCAAGCACAGGGGCACGTAGGAAGGGCGCGGAGCCTTAGCTGAGGGGAGACGGAGGGGGGAGATGGGGCTGTGAGGCTGGTACTGTGTGGGCGATTGCCACAATGGGCAGCTGTTCAGCGGGGAAACATGACCTGGCTGATACAGGTTTAATTATATTAAAACCTGTATCAGTCATGGCGTGCCCCGCTTCACCTCCTGCCGTAACTAAGGCCCCGCCGTATCATTGGGTGTTCCAGTGTGTGTTCCCACGCGCAAGCCGGCGGCTCGCTTACCCCATAGCCCAGCCTGCTGTAGCGCCTTTAAGTGGAAGTAATAGCCGGCAGGATCCTTTGCACCATATGGAACTGGCCCGGCGACGCTGCAGGTGACCAATCGCCCGTCGGGTGTTCCTGGGCGGAGCTCCTCGACAAACTCAAGCGACAGATGGCGCGACAGCAACATCGCTGTGCTGCCCCGTCGGGTGTCGACCGTTGGGAGAGCAATTCCGGTATGTCGTTAGTATGTGCGTCCGCCACAGATTAGCTTGCTGATCCTGATCTGCAGCTGGGCCCTCGCGACGACACAGATTCCCGCCGCCGGTCACACCGCAACGCTGGGTCCGACGACGAACCTTTTTTAAATGCGCATATGTATGATATTGTTTGGTAGGTTATATGAGGTGATCCATGATGAAGGGAGAGTTGTTCTGCTGAGTGAGGTACCCGCAAGTGCTTCCGAACAGTTGAGGGTTTAATTTTAAAGACTCCATAAGCGCTACAATTTAATGTATAATAATGAATTCTTAGACAGTAGAAGCATGCTCGACTCCAACAACCATCATGTTCGGTACGGCTTTACGGCTGTAGACTCTATCGGCCATCTATCAACTGGTAGAGCCGCTTTTGCACAATCAATACTGTTAACTGTACCCGAGTGGATGATTATGTTTTGCCATGCATCCATCACTTTTGCATAGTTAAAGCCGGAGACCTGTGCCGCTTTCCTGTGAAAACTGCACAAAACTAAGTTACGGAACCAGAATACTAGAAGTCCTTACCCGTGGCAACAGGAGGGACGTCGTCGCAGGAAGCAGGAGCTGATGGGCAAGCTCTAGACCACGCTGGGGCTCGCTTGCGGCGTGAGGCCGGCTGAGCAGCGTCCGCAAAGCTCATGGGGCCTCATAACAGCAGGAGCCGAAGTCGGAGCCCCAAGCGGCAGCGTAGAGACAGGCAAGAACCTTCGCGCCACAGCCCTTCCCTCGTCACTGCTAGCCTACATCTACCAACCATTATCACGTCCGGTTCCATAGGCGCATTATTAGTTCTCACCATTCTGCGCGCAGCGAGAACCCACAGGGCCGCTTACTTGCCACTAGCCCTTCCCCAGCACCTCACCCCAGTATTTGGACCGGCCGCCTTCCTTTTGCACCACAAATGGCTTACGATCTCTGCAAGACATGTGCGGGGAGGGTATTGATCAAATCAGCCGCCGCAGTCTTACCTGTGGAAGCGTTGCTGCACCAACACGTGCACCAACCAGGCAGCAACCCCACTGCCTTTCCCCGATGGCGGCCAGCACACGCACGCTCCTCCCCCCGCGATCGGTGTCCGCACCCCGCCAAGGTGCCTGTTTCACCCGGGCCGTCCGCCGGCCCCATTACCCCCCACATAGCACCGGGTACTCTGTATGTACTCTCGTCCCACCCAGCTCCCCTCACGTCCCAGCCCTCCTGTCCTCCACACTCCTCTCTCCTGCCCTCCACTTTCCGTTCCGTGACATACCCGGTACCTGTCATGCCCTGGCCCACTCTCTCTCAGGACCGGCAGCGGCAGTCCGCGGGGTCGGAGCCGCTCCCCCCCAGGGGCCAAGCAGCGCCGCTTCAGCAGCCGCAGTGCCAGTCGGAGCCGCTCCCCGCCTGGGACCGCTTACACAGGCGGCCGCCCCAACGGCTACTCGCCCACCAGGTAGGGCAGCGGGACGTGGGGCCCTCTGGGGAGGAAGGGGGAGGGCAGCTGGCTGGAGGTATAGCTTATTGGTGGCTGGCTGGCTGGTTGGATTGATGGCTGCCTCTTGGCGCCGTTGCCGCTTCTGCATCGTACCGCGTTACGTGTGCGTCGACTGCATCAAACCGTTGTCTACCTTTCTAATTTAGAGTTCACTGATATCTGGTGATGTGATGTGTCCTGATGATGTCATCCAGAGGTATTGCATATGGCGGAGTTGGAGGCGGAGTTGGAGGCGGGCGATTTGCTTCTGGCGGATCGGCGCCGGGAAGCGGCCGGGCGATGGTGGCGGGGCTGGCTGGCGGCAGCAATGGCGCCGCCTCTGCCGGCGCCGGGATGACTCCGCCGCCCTGGGTGTCAAATGCGAGACTGGCTCCCCAGGTCAGGTAAGTGGGGGCCCTGAAGGGGGCGACTGGGGGGCTCCTGAAGGGGGCCGGATATGTGTGGATTGTTTCGGCCTGCGGATGGTTTCGGAGATGGGGCCCGGCCAAAGGATGTGAAGGTTATGTGGAACAAGCAGAGTAGTCAAAGGAGGGGAGGAGCGGCGCACGGAGGGCCCCCACGACACGCATGCGGCGTGCGGCCACGGCAGGGGCACATGCAACTACACTTCTGAGCCGCTGCTTAAACCTCGCTGCTTCATTACTGTCTGCCCCTGACCGTGCTTTCGCACTTCATGCCTCAAACTGACCAACTAACCAACCGAACAATGAAACCGGCAGGATGGTGTTGGAGGGTCTGTACGGCCGCGGCAAGCTCGGCCCAACAGACTTGGAGTACGCCTGCATTGAATTCCTCGAGTTGCTGGGCCCTGTGGGCGGCATGGCCGTACTGGAGGAGTTCGCCTCCCTGGACTTCTTCCGAATCCGCAACCTCACCGCTTTTTTTATCGGCATCTGTAAGCGCGTGCAGGCGCGTGCGCCGCCGCCGCCGGGACGGCCGCTGCGCGGCCCCGACGGTGGCTCGCCGCCGCCCGGCGCCGGTGGTCTACGCGGCCGGACGATGAGTCGTGGAGGGGGCCCGGCGGCCGCTGCGGCCGGTGGGGCCGGCGGCGGCGGCGGCGGCAGTTCCACTGGCGGCCTTTCTGCGCGAGTGGTGAGTCGTAGCCCCGGGGCAGGGCCCGGTATGCGGCGTGCCAGCCCGCCGTTGCACTTTATGATGGAGGACGGCAGCCCGCCGCCACGGCGGTGGGTCAGTAAGAGTCCGCCGCCACGGCGATGGGTTAGCAAGAGCCCGCCGCCGCGCCGTTTTGAGAGCAAGAGTCCGCCGTTGCGTCGGTTCAACAGCAAGTCGCCGCCGCGCCGGCGATGGGTTAGTCGAAGTCCGCCGCTGCGGCGCTTCGAGAGCAAGAGTCCGCCGCCGCGACGGTGGGTGAGCCGCAGCCCGCCGCCGCGCCGCACCGGCGCCGGAAGCCGGAGCCCGCTGCAGCGGCGGTGGGTGAGCCGCAGCCCGCCGCCGCGACGGGCGACGAGCAGGAGTCCGCAGCGGCGGGGGCGGAGGGCTTCGGAGCAAGGGAATGCCGGGTCTCGGAGCCCTAGCTTAAGTCGGCAGCAGGCAACCCCCCTGCCGCCGCCAGAGCAGTCACAGCAACAGCTTCGCAGCCCGTCACCTCCGCCACCGCAGCAGCAGCAGCCGGCGCACAGCGCTGGCGGTAACCAGCCGCCGGCGGTGTTACCAGGTGCTAGCGCCGTCACTATGAGCACAAGCAGTCGTACATCTGCGTCGGCGAACGAGAGTGGCGGTGTCACCGCCGCAGCGGCCCTTCCATGGGACCGAGTTGGGGATTCAACTGTAGCGGCAGCGCCGCCGCCGCCGCCGCCGCCAGCAGCCCCGTTAGGGTCCTCATGGGGTGCGGAACGACCGGCTGGCTCGGACAGGCCGGATGTTGCCGCCGCCGCCGCCACAGGCACTGCGACCTCCGAAGCAACAGCCGCCGGCTATGGCGGTGGCGGTGGTGGTAGCGCGGGCTTCGGCGGCGGTACGGATGGGCCTGCCGGGCTGACGGGCGCTGTCGCCGCAAGCTCCTGTAGATGGGATGAAGGCTCCTGTCTGTTGGGAGGGCTGGCAGTCGCTAGCGAGAGGTGAGACGGAGTTGGGGGTGTTGCTGTGCGCCCGTGGAGGTGTTAAAGGAGGTGTGAAAGGGAAACGGAGCTGGGGGAGAGGGAGGGAGAAATGGCGCAACCTTTGGGTTGTTGATCTGAAGGAAAAGGGCGGGGGCATAAACAGGCGTGTATGGCACGGCGGCGCTTAACCCACTGCTTGTGCGATGTGAAACAGTGCTCCACGCTGCTGTACAAGCATATGCCAGTTTTCACTACCTATGTATGTATGTATGTGTGTACGACGCTGCTGCTCTCAGTGTCAACAAAGTGGGGGGTAAAGGTGGGGTGTCGACCTCCTGGGGTCCGTCATGAGTCTTAGGGTTTGGGTCACCCTGTACGGCACGGAAAGACGTGTACGGACTCAATGTGCGCATGTGCAGTTGTGCACGCACGTCACGCACCCGACTGCGCGTACGGCTGGCTGACCTACCTACCTACCGACTGACTGACTGACTGCTGCAGGTGCTCCGAAACGGCTGCCCCACCGGGCCACGTTGCCGCATTGGCAAAGCAACAACAGCAGCAGCAACACCTGCGGCGGCAACAAATATGGCAGCAGCAACAACAGCAACAACAGCAACAACAGCAACAACAGCAACAACAGCAACAACAGCAACAACAGCAACAGCAGCAGCAGCAACAACAACAGCAGCAGCAGCAGCAACAACAACAGCAAGCACATTTGCAGGGCCTACGGCACTCTTCGGCCGAGCACCCACTCGACTCAGCCCCCGGGGGCTCCATCTCGGTGCCCAGGCCATTGACCCCCGCGGCGGCAAGCTCCGCTGTACTGCAGGGAAGGCCCGCTCCAATACCAGGGCCCAGCCACGCGGCACCGGGCGTGCTGGCGGCAGCGGCGGCCCCACCTTCGAGACTAATATCTCCCCCGGCACCTGCGTACGGAGTTGGCCACGGGCAAGGTGGTTATGGCGGGTTACGAAGCCAACACAACAGTCAGCAGCACCATTCGGAGCTGCAGAATGGTGACAGGCCAGGGCGGCCTGGCGGCGGCGGCGCGACCGCGATGCCGTCGATATCGCCGGCGGTCGCCGGCCCTGCGCCGGCATCGTCTGGAACCTCCGGATCCGGAATCCGTGATACAGATTACGGCGGCGCCTCAACGGTGCCGGCGGCGGAACTATGGGGCGGGGGAAAGGACGGGCCCGCTGTCGGCGCCTCCAACGGCGCCGTACACTTGCCTGGCTTCGGCTCAAGCACCGCATCGGCTGCCGACGGCGCGCGGGCGTTTCCGTTCGGCGGTGAATTTAACGACGACGGCGGTGGCGGCGGAGACGGCGGAGATGCGGAGACGCTTCTCGAACCAGCGGCATTGCTCGACACCCGGCTAACCACGGCAGTCGCCACAGCGCTCCAAGGCGCTGCCGCCACTGTCGTGACCGGCAACGGCATCGGCGCCGCAGCTGCAGCTACCGCTGGCGGCGGCTCGTGTAGCGCTGCCGCCGGTACGGCACTCACCGCAGGGATCGCTTACGTACCGGAGCCTCCCGTACCTGTGGGAGCCTATCCGTTGGGCGGCTGGCTGGCGGCCGACGTGGCGGCGGCGACTGGAGGCCCCCGGCCCCGCAGATGCTCAGCAGCCAGTGGCAAGCCAGTTCCGTCGGGGCCGCCGCTCTGCGGAGCCCTCGTGCCGTACACGGAAACGAGGCACAAACAGGAGGAGAAGGGGGAGGACGAGGGAGTCCAGGCCGTCACAGCCTCGACGATGGAAGTGGAGGTGGAGATGTCGGAAGGGGGGGACGGCTGGCGTCTGGGTGCCCGTGGCGGCAGCGGCGAGGGCGGTGAAGACGGCAGTGGTGCTGCTGCCGGGCTGGGCGGCTGGGTGTTGGGGAGTATGTTGGCGCAAGCGTTGAGTGCGGCGGCAGCGGCGGCGGCCAGCGGCGGCAGCAGCGGCTGCGAGGGCGGCATATTACGACAGGCGGTGACGGAACACGTCAAGGAGGCGCTCAAACCCGCGTGGCGAGCTAACAAATTGACGAGGGAGACGTTCAAGGCGGTGGCGAAGAAGGCGGTAGACCGGGTAGGTGTCGACCCCCGTGTGTGTGCGCCATGACCCGTGGGTCAGTGTGTGCACCTCTGTAGGTCCTGTCGCGTGTGGATGCGGCGGGGCCTAAAGAGGATTGGCGCGAGCTCTAATCTACGACATGAGCCCGCTGGCCTGCGGAAGGGTCGTGCAGGGGCACACCTGGGAGATGCCTCCGAAGAGGGCGAAGGCAGGCAGGGAGGGAGGGAGGGTAACGTAGGTGCTAGCGGAGGATTAACTAACATGTCTTTAATCTGGCACAAGAATTTTTTTATGATAATCACCCGGCACAAGGTATTTCTTAGTAGCAGCTGGCCTCGGGGCGCGGGCGTCTGCACCATGTATCCTAGCCATTGCCGTGCGCGGCTGCCGTCATGCACGGACTGCACAACCACCATCCCCTTCTTGTCGTGCTGTCTTCCGCTGCGCAGGTTCTTGTGACGCTACCAAACAACGGCGTAGGTAGTTTGTACGACTGCCCTGCGACTGTTGCCACATTTTTCAGCGATGCGCGGCGCGAGGGCATCAGCAGACTGGTGGATGCGCTGTTGCTACGGCTCGTGTCGGGACATGTGACGGCGACGGCGGCGGTGCCGGCGACATCGGCAGCGGCGCCGCTGCCGGCGGCGGGGGGCGGCGCGTCAAGCGCTGATTGCGCTGTGGAATGTCATGGAGCGTCATGATCACCGCGATCCGGCTTAACGTTTATTCGCGCCTGGAGCTGCTGCCGGGGTGTGGCCAGTGCCGCGGCATCGTTCCTGCGTCGCTCGCTCAGCGCTGTGAGGCTTACTCCCAACCCCCAACTGCCATCCACCATGTCGTCCTCCTGATTTGGAGAACAATAGTAACAGTAACAATAACAACAGCAACAACAACAACAGCAACAATAGCAGCAATAACAATGATAATGGTGTCCGGGCGGTCGCGCAATACGATGCTGAATGCCAGCTCGCATCGCAGCTGGATGACCGGTGCAACAGCACCACGAGAACGAGCGGGAGGGCGTTGCGGGAGGGCGCCTTTCGAAGGGTCAGGCGGCAGAGAGTTACGATTATTAGAGGAAACGAACGATTTTATTTAAATGAACGGAGTCACTTGCATTGTGTGCGCTTGTCCCGTCTTTCTGTTTGCTCCGCATGTTCCCCAGCCACAGGTGTTTGGGGTTGTGCGGTATGTGGCTTGATCGTGTATCCGATGTGCATGTGTGCGGATGCGCCTTGCGGGGCTGTGTGCGGCATTTGGTGGTCTTGGTCTTGTGGTGGTTTCCATGGGGCTCCCCATGTCAACATGTTCAGGGGGGCCTTCTGCTCGTCCCATCGTCCCGCACAGGCGAGATGGTTTTCTAATGGGAGGTACAAACTTGTGTTGTACACTGGCATGCAATGATTTCATGTCGTGTGATCCCGGGGGAATTTCGTGAGTAGCGTTAGCATAGACCGTTTCGTGGCGGTGCGCTGGCTGAATTGCATTGATAATGATGTCGTTGGTCTATAGGATGGGACTGGTGCGCTACGTGGCTCTCTGCTGCGGTGCTCTGTTGCCCAGTCATTTACCGTTTCCAAACGCTCCCGCGGGTTTTGTTGGACATGCTTGTGATGACTACTCGCCGAGTTGAGCCCTGGAGGATCTTTGGCGGAGCTTCGCAAGTTCTCCAGAAACTTCCGAGGCTACGGATTAGCGGTTGGCCTCTAGGCTACTATAACTACTTCTGCTCGCTGCGTGACGGAGATGTGCATATATCTGAGCGTCCAGGTCTACGTCTACGTTTCCGGCGCGAACGAAGTGAAACTGGTTGGAGTCCATTTTCCTCCTCAGTCACGAATTGAAGTAGTACCGGAAAGGTGTGGTGTGAGCGCTTATGACGTCTTCTAAGGAAAGAAATGATTGCCTTGTCGTTGCTCTTAACTAACTCCTAACGACTGACGTGCTAAGGAGTCCGGTTTTGCATGTGGAGTTCGGGATTTAAGTTACACCGTCGCGCCAGCAGGAGAGGTCACTGATACTTCGGCTTATGCTTCTGTCTATTTTGAACATTACCTAGCCAGCCAGCTTTTTTGCTTTCGGTAGATTGCATCGGTGTAAATCTCGAACCTCTGCTCATGGAGCTACACGCGATCAAATGGAATGCGGCTTCTCAGCAGAAGTTTCATGTAGCGGCACGCATGTTAAGAGAACGCAGCGTTGTCCGTCTATTCATCAACTGCAAGGAACCCTCTTCTACAGTGGCTCAACCCCACCACATCAAGCTTGGTTTTTGCTACGGCTGCTTGCAACTCGAAAAAAGATTTACCGTCAATCGAAGTAGAAATTAGAGGAGCCGGCAGCATGAGCTCGCTGGCTAGCTTGGATCAGTGCATACACATGGGTCAAACCCACATAGCCCCTTGCCTCGCCTGAAGCCTATAACCCCTCACGACGTTGCGAGCTTCAAGACCCAGATTGCAGGCATATGCAAAAGATGTTACGGATGATTCGGGCTTCAGAAATTTTCATGTGAGCAGGAATCAGCATCCCATATGCTGGACTCGGCAAAGGAGGCCATCAGCTCAACTTCAAGCCTTTGGCCGTTGCCTGAAGTCAACAGCCCGCAGCCCAAGACAAGTTTGATAGAAGAGACGGTAGCTTTTATTCATAACTATATTCACGATTGATTACCTGCTGAGCTCATGTATCTTGAATACTGCCGCAAGGTGGTTATTCGCAGCATCGGTCAACGGGGCCCTGCTGTGGCCAAATTTATAGCCTTAACTAAACACTTATTGCAACTTGGATTGGTATTGAGCTAGGCGTTACAGGGTGCCTGGTTAACCAATAACCATTAACGTACGGCGTTCATTCGCAAGAACCTCTTCGCAGGCCTATCACGATTATAGCGGAAAATATGCATAAACATCATCTGCACCTAAGGTCTGTATTTCATAACTATCTGCGCAACCGGCGTTTACTTACGGTGCCCTTAGAATTTGCAAATAAACTAAAGCTGTTCGACCCAAATCGATTCGCTCATATTTTTGTCCTTAGATGTTCTTGCTGTAATCAGACATATACAAGCTTTCTGCGGGCATGATTGACATACGTCTGAATGTTTTTGTCGCGGTTAGCATTCTCAAGCTTTGAGAGTTAACTGTAATTTTATAACAGTAACCTGGTATACCTAGCTTTTTGCCTGGCCGCGGCTGGGCGCACTTCAGCAGTGGCGCACAGGAGCCCAACGAGTATAACATAACGGAGGCTTACAGATGGTGAAGGCCGGGAAGAAAGTTAAGGGAGCCTCAAAGGTAGGCTTCTATGGAGGCGCCTTGCATGTCAGGTCATCGTTGTATCCCGGTGCACGCCTCGCGGAGCAAAGACATCGGAAATGCATTCATAGGTTTAAGATCTTGCACCTATCCAAATCACAACTGAGGATGCACGCGACCGGAGGATTCACCTGGTCGAGAGCATTGACACACACGAGTACGGCACTTGGCGCCCGCATTGTCCTCCGTGCGTGCTTCCGCACACCCACAGACGCCGTAAATCGCGTCCCCCACTTCACCTCAGTACGCATCCTTGCTAGTGTGGATGGCGGTGACGGGGCCAGTCCCTGGAGACCTCGTCTCCCTGCCCACAGCCCCTGCCCTATGCGGACGGGGGCATCGCTCTGTCCGTCATGCACGCGCCCTCGCGCGTATGACCCACACCCGCATCCGGAGACACTGCACGTGCGCTGTCGTGCAGCATTCCACCCGGGGCCCTCATCAGCATCCCCAATTAGGCCTGACTGGCCCCCCCTCCAACACATCCGCATACCAGCATTCTTTGCACCACAACACCTTTAGAGCGGAGCCGCGGCACCGGCTTCCCTGCCCCTAGAAAACCCTAGGACAAGAACCATTTCGTTGGCCAGCCTCACATCAAAGTGGGGTAGGCGGACGAACAGGAGCAGCGGCAACACCATGAAGAGGAAGAGGAGGGCCAGGCAGCTTAGCAGGCAGGGCGGCTAGGGAACCAGCTAATTTACCATGCCCGACAATCTCCCAGGCGTCCCCATCATCTTCGCCATCATCATCACCATCATCATCACCACCATGAGCCCTCCCCGGTCCCTGGCCCCGCCCCCGTCGCTGCCAGGTCCGTGAGAATGAGACAGAGGAGGAGCGGCGGATTCGTCTGGAGATGGAGGCGCTGGCGGCGGACGAGGCGGAGCGGAGAGCGCAGGTACGACGACAACAACCAGGCTACTGACCACCACCACCCCGCGGCTAGGTCACCAGAAATGCGTGGAGGGATCGGGGGTTGGGGATTGGGATTAAGGTGGGACGGACGAGCTTATCACTCTGTGACTCTGGCGCGGACCCGACCGCCCTCAAAGCGACGGCTGCAATGCTCCCAGTGGGCTGAGGGACGTAGTCTGTTTCGGTGCGCAGGTGTGGGTGGGGGTGGGGGTGACGGAGGTGCTTGGATTTGGGTCTTGGATTTGGATTTGGATTTGTGTCCGAGTTGGGAATGAGGATTTGGCGGGGCGTGGATCAGTTGGGTGAGCGTGGTTACGGACGGTTGGGCCACAGCGCAATGACGGGGGTGCAGTAGCAGCAGCAGCGATTCAGTGTAATGGACGAGCGAGGTAACCGTGCAAGGTCGGTACGGCACGGCAGCAAGGTGCCTTATTGGACGGGATTTGTCCGGAACACCATGACCCGCACACATACATACATAAATACATACATTCATACAGACAGACAGCAGACGCCTTGACACCATCCCCTCCACCCGGACACCACCTGTATCTGCCTCCGCAGGAAGCAGCTCGCGTGGCGCTGCGTGAGCGGCAGCTCCGCGAGCAGCGTTACGCGCACCTGAACGGCATCAAGATCCACAACCAGTGGCGCAAGATCATGCGGATGGCCAAGGTGGAGGAGCTGCGGAGGGAGATCGAGATCTTGAGTCAGAACCACGAGCGGGAGGTGGACCGGAAGGATGCCATCATGCAGGTGCGGAGAGGAGGGAGGAGGGAGGAAGGAGGGGGGAGGGGGGAGGGGGGAAGGAGGAAGGGGGGAGGAGGAGGGGGGAGGGGGGAGGGGGGTAGAGGCGGATCACTGGGATCATACGTGTTGTGTATAATTTACCTGTGCGTGCCTGTGTGAATGTGCGCCTGTGTGAACGTATGTGTGTGTGCATGTGTGCCTACGTGTTGGGTGTCGGGGGAGGAATACAAAGTGAATCGTAGGGGTGTGCGTGCGTGCGCATGTATGTATATGCGTGTATGTGGTAGTGGGGCGAGCTTTGAAGAGGCGGCGGCTAGGTAGGAATCGGGGGGGGAGCTCTTGACTGGGCTGGAGCGGGGCCAGCCCTGCTGCTGCTGCTGCTGCTGCTGCCATCGGCAGATATTTCTTTATTTTTTGATGCATTCTACCATTTGCACTATGTAATCCTAATCAAAATTTCCTTCTTTATTTTTGACCTCCGTCCCTCTCCCTCCCGCCCCGCACTCGACAGATGTTGGATCGCGACCTCGAGGAGGCCGAGGAGCAGTACAGCCTCGCAGTGCGGTCACACATGCTGGTGGTGGACAACTTGCTGGACCTGCAGGTACGTGCTGCTGTATACAACGTACATCGCGGTGCAGCTGTGCAAGGCCACGGTGCTGCTGTCGCCGCTACCGCTGCTGTGTTTGCCTGCATGCAGAGAACCTCCACCCCCCGACCTCCGTTTCCCCCCTCCCTCCCTCCTCTCGCGTCACTCGGCTCCTCAATTGTTTATCTTGCGTTGTTCTTTTCCGTTCAAACCCTACAAACCCCATAAACGATTATTGTTTTGGGGGGTATGTTATGTTTGGGATATGTTGGGCACGACCTGGCCCCTCCTGTGTGGACACCACCGTCAGTTTCGCTGTGTCGCCGTTTCCTTGTCGGGTGGGGATAACACTCCCACTCACCCCTCCGTAACCCACCCATGTACCGGCGGACACCCCCCCCCACACACACATCTTGGGTCAGTCCTGCTTCTTGTGCACTCTTTCCTTGGCAGCAGCTTCACTCGTTCATGGTTCGTCTTTCCCCCCCCCCCATCCACACATCCTGGCCCCCAGTACCAACGCATGCGGGCACTGGAGGCAGAGTTCGCCGCCGATCTTCGTTATTTGGAGGACGAGTTTGAGACGGAGCGTACGGAGATTGTCAACGCGCATACCCGGCAACGCAAGGACATGGGCGACATGATCGCGGCCATGGAGGGCGAGTTCGCGGACGCGGAGGCGGAGCTGCGGCAGGTGGGGTGGTGTGGGGTGCTGCGGTGTGGGGGGTAGGATGGGGTGGGGTGGGTGACATTGGTGTTGTTGTCCGGCCGCTAAGCAACTTTGCAGTACTCTTCCAAACCGACTTTCAAAGCTGACAGCAGGAGTGTCGAGCAGGAGTCTAAGCGTGGGGGTCAGCAGGCCTTCGCAAGCAGCAGCAGCAGCATAAATAGCAGCAACAGTAGTAACAGCAGCAGTATTAGCAGCCGTAGCAGCAGCAGCATGCACAGCCAACGCATCCACCCCCTCCCCAAGTCCCCCAACCACCCCCAAACCTCACGCACCCACCCACCCCCCCGCAACCCCCCCGCAGGAGTACGAGGCCCAGCGGGAGGAGATTAAGAACCGCAACAGCGAGGAGTACAACGTGCTCAAGATCCAGTTGGAGGGGATCATTGAGGAGCTGGAGAAGAGCTTTGAGCTGGTGGGGAGGAGGGGAGGGTGCTGCGGCAGGGTTTCCGCGGGGTTCCGGACTGTGGGTTCTGTGTGCGGCTCCTAGCTGCTTGGCGGGCCCGGTACGTTGTCCATTACCCTCTTCGGTCCAGCACCCGCGCAACCGCCCACCCGCGCATCCATCAGGGTGGGGTGGCCACCAGTGGACATCCGTCACGCCACCCAGGCTGCCGCCGCCTACTCTGGAATATGACGGCGTTCATATCGCCGAACCGCACAGTTCAAAAACAGCCACACCTGCATATGCATGTGCATGTGCATTTGAAGTTAACTTGCGTTCTATGTAGAGCCCGCTCATCTAGCCGGCATTCGCGGTTTCGCATTCACGTCATCGTTTTCTTCCTCCTTCCCCGGACCCGGTAGGCCCACCGCGCATACCTGGAGAGTACGGAACACCGAACAAACACATTCCGTACACTCACGAAGGATGACGCCAAAGCGGCACTCAAGATCGAGCGACAGATGCGGAAGTTGGTTCGCCTGCAGGTGGGGCCTTATTCCCGTGAGTGTCTGTATGTCTGTGTGTCTGTATGTTCATGTGTGTATATATGTTTATGTGTGCATATATGCACACACCTGGGCCTGTGTGGGCCCCCCCCCCCCCCCCACTGATCTGGGCGAGTGGGCGGAACAAAAAAGGGGGTTACATCTCCGGTTCTTACGCCTCCTTGTTGCCTTCCGTCCCTCTCTGCTCTTATCTGTTCTATCTGTCTTGTGTGTTGATGTCTGTGCAGGAGGCTCTGCAGCACTGGCGAACCAAGATCGCCACTAATGCCCGCGAGTGGGAGGAACGCAACCGGGCGCTTCGCAATGAGAAGGAGATCATGGCGCGACACTACGCCAAGCTCAAGGTACGCGAGATGGCGGCGGTGGGGCCCCGGATGGAGGGGGTTGCATGTGCGGGTATTGTGTGTGGAAGGGGACCCGGTGTCTGGGGTGGTCGGCTGTGTTTGTCGGGGGCGGGGCTCCGGCAGGCGGTTGCAGGGAGAGGAGAGGGGCAGGGGGAACACAGGTTCCTGCCTCCGCCAAATTGTTGTTACTGTTCTTCCAGGTATCCGGATCTTTTCCTGCAAGCCGGGTTCCGGAACTTTCTTTCATTCATCATTTCTTTATTTATTTATTTCGGTCAAAAAAAGGGAAATCAAGTCCACCTGATCCTGCATTGCGAACATGGAAGCACTGCACATCGAGGTAGCTCGTGGGTCCGCCACAAAGGGGACGGATGGGGAGGGGTGGATTTTAGGACGCTTGCCGACCGCCCTCCACATTGGGGGGGAGTGTATCTGCTGGCGTGTGTAGGAATAAAATACCACAATATTAATTTTAGTTGAGAGTCATTACTCTCCGCACCTCACCTCCCTGCGCCCCGACGTTCCACTGCCCCGCAGTCGAGCATGGACGCGTTCAGGTCTGGCCAGGCAGAGCGCCTGAAGCAGCTGTCCCTGGCCTCGTCTGCCTCCATGGATTCACTCCGCGGCAAACTCGCGCTGGCGGAGAATATATTCAAACTGGCGGAGCTGGCCAGGAAGTACGAGACGGAGCAAGAGAAGGTGTTGCCGTTCTGGTCGCCCACGGAGGCGGTACAGGGCCCTGCCGCCGCCGCGACGGAGGCCGAGGCAACGGCGACGGCGACGGGGGTTGATGCCGCCGCCGCTGCTGCGTCGGGCGGCGGCGCCGCGGCAGCGACGGAGGCGGCGGAGCTCGGCGACGAGCCGTCGGCTGCGCAGCTGGGCGAGCTAGGCCTGCGGCCGCCGCCGCTGCCGGAGGACGCAGCCGGTGCCGCTAGCGGTAGCGGCAAAGCCACTGCCGGCGCCAGCGGCCGTGGTGCCGGTGCACCGCCCTCCTCCGCCGCGTCCACCGCCAACAAGCCGCGTTTCAGCAGCTTTGGGTTGGATCCAACTTCAGGCAAGGAGGTGGAGGAGTGGGACTACCTTAACCGCTTTTTCAAGCGCTACAATAAGGCCCTCCTGGACAAGGCCGCCATCGACAAGGAGAAGGCCCGCCTGGAGCGGGAGAACGCCGACCTTCGTTCCATTCTGAAACAGTACCTCGACGGCATCTCGGTCAACGATGACGTGCTTAATAACCCGGTCAACCCTTTGCTGGTCGTCAACAACCGCCTTCAGGTACGGCAGGTTAGGTGTGTTGGCGTTTGCCGATATATGTAAGATGTGCTGGCAGCGGCTGCGGTCATTTCCGCTGGCGGCCCCCCGGAAGGATTTCCCCCCTAGGAGCTCGAGAATGTTTCGCCTTTCGCCTGCCTTCCCCGCGCTGAGAGGAGGCCTCTTACCGCACCTAGGTGGTGACGTCCACTGGGGGCATTGCGGGTTTTCCCTCTTTGCTCGTTTTCCGTGTTTCCACCTAATCCATCAACGTCCCCCAAGTCTGCGTGCGGTAAAGCTTGACCATGCACCGGCGGCGACACTCAACCTAACGGAACCCAACCTGACCGGGCCGTGTTCCGGCGCAGATAACGCTCACGGAGCGCAACAAGGCACGGGCCGCCGCCCTGGCGCAGCGTGCAGCTGGCGCCGCCGCCGCTGGCGCCGGGCCGGGCAGCATGTCGGCTGTGGGGCTGGGGGCCGCCGTCACGGCCAGCCTCAAGCAGGCTCAACAACAACAGCAACAGCAAGGTGTTGCGCAGCAGAAGCAGCTTGTGGAGGTCAAGGCCGTCTCGCGGGTTGGGTAGCCCTTGCGCCCTGGCTCCGGGATTGTCGTGTGGGATGGAAGGCGTCGGCTTTTTTGGCTGCAGTCCGGAAAAAGGAAGGAAAACAGGGAACGGCGGGTAAAGGGAAGGCCGTGTGCGTGGGGGGAAAGAGGCGGAGTCATGGGAACATGCGGGTTTTGGAGGGTGATTGCCTAGTGGGGGTTTAAGCTGTGCTGACCGAGATGTTGTGTTGGGGTGATGGTTAAGAACTTGACCCCGCTCTTTGGGTAGGAGAGTTCGACTTCAGCGAGTTTGACTTCAGGCCCAGGGGCCTGTAAGGTCTAGGGAGGGCGGTGCGGCGGCTTGTGGGCGAAGAAAGGGGCTGTGTATAGCCTCTGCTAGGGAGGCTGGGGGCGGAAGGGCAGAGTTCAAGTTAAATTCATGTTAAGTCAGATCCTTCCGCTGAGCGTGTTGCGATTATGTATGTGTGATTTGTCTGTTTTGTGTGTAATGTCGAGTTACCCAGGAAAGTTGGTAAGTTGTTGCGGAAACCATGCGTGTGTGTAGTTGGGCTTGGCCCTTTGGGAGGGTTGCGAGAGGCAAAGCCGCCAACCCTTGCACGGATGAACGCATGTGCGCATATGCACAAGTTTACGAATTGGAGCGGTGGCAGTCGTTGATCAAGCATTACGTGACGGCGCAGGGATTTATGCTGGCGCGGAATGTTGACAGCAGACGTGCAGTAGGCTACCCTGCCGCAAATACCCTCAGTTACCACACAATTATAGACGAGACGTTTAGCTGTTATGGACTCTTACATGGGTTGAGCTTTTGGGGGTTCTGGCTACGGCTTTTCGCGCTACGCTGCTAATCGTCCTGCTGGGAGAATTCTGCCGCGTAGAATTCCCTACTGGAGGGTTGCAGGAAGCGCGTCCCTAACTGCAAGTGGCTGCGGTGATGCTCCCTAAGCCTCCGTGGGCCATCAAATCCAACAACACAATGCTTGGACATCAGTCTGCAAGGATCTTTAATTTGTACCACCTTATATGCAGAACCAAAGTCGAGTCACTGAATCTACATCCTGCCAAGTTTGCAGCAGAAAAGCATGAGACAAATTATTAATAATACAGGGCCGTCGAACGGTTGCCCAGCAACTGAACGTCACCCTATTATACAAGCTCACGTTTCTGATTCTCGCAAAAACGTCCGGGTAGTTGGGTTTACCGTGTAACTACTTATCATTTGCGCAATGTCTGTGCTTCAAGTGGCTGCCTGCGCACGCCGTTTGCGAGGAACGACAAACCATGGACTTATCGAATCATTACTTTGTAGACTCCTTGAAACGGACGTCCAAGATCGGCCTGGATCCGTGCCACAACAGTCTTCCGATGGAATTGCGAGCACATCCGGTCGCAGCGAGATGCTCACATTACCCATTTCACTGAAATCCGAACGAATGGTGGGTTTCGGGCTCCATATTATACAACACTTTACGTAGCAGCAGGCCCGCCCTAATTTGCATACTTTCCCCTCTCCGAAAACTGATGAACGCCCGGCTCCCCAGATGTCAACACACGCACCGCCAGGCAGCACAGGTCCGCCTGCCTCCAACTGGCTGATGCGGAAACTTCCAACCAAGCTTGTGCCGTACGCGCAGCTGATGCGACTTGACAAACCCATTGGCACCTGGCTGCTGGCGTTGCCGTGTTTCTGGTGTGTCCCCCCCGCGCCCAGCTTCCCCACTCGTGCCCCATCCTATCCCACAACACTCGTTCCACACGCACACTATCCTATCCACATGCGCTGCATGTACACAGCACGTAAGCCAAACCCTAGTCAACACACCCAGGGCTGCAGCTCTGATGCAACATACGCCCGCGCGTACCCCAATACCCCCTCCCCTCCCCCTCCCCTATCTCATGTGCGTGTGCTCACTCCAGCAGGGCGCCCTCTGTTTTCCCTTGCATTTCGCCGGGCAGGCAAGGAGCCTCCCTCTCTCCCCGCACATTCGCGATTACCTACATGCCGGCCGCCTGGCTACCTGCCCCCTAACGCACCCACCCACCTACCTACCTACTCCACCCACCCACCCACCCACCTAACAGGTCTATTGGGTTGGCCACACCCCCGGGTCACCTGCCCGACCCCCTCATCCTGACACTCTTCGGAACGGGGGCAGTGGTGAGGTCGAGGTACATCGCGTGGGGAATGGAGTGATTGCGGCAGTAGGTACCCGTATTTGCTGTAGGGGAATGGCCTGACCAGGCAATGCCTGGTTACAGCGCCAATTTCCCCCGGGGGTAGCAGATACATACCCGGGACCGGGGCATCCATCAGGTTGCGGAAAACAGAAGCTCCCGGAGGAGCGCACATTTGCAGGGGTGCTTCCCCCTTTCCATTGCTTTGGGTGGAGGGGGTAAAGGATGCTGCTGCTGCTGCTGATGGTGATGATGATGATGATGATAATGATGATGATCGCTAGCCGTCCCATTTCCCAACCACTTCAACTAACTTGCCGTTGCAACTTCATATTCTTAACCACCTGCAGCTCCTCAGAGGCGCCGGTTGCACCGTCAACGACCTCTGGGACAGGGACCTTGACAAACGGGTGGATCGAACCAAGGGTCGCCCGCTGGCCGCGGGAACTCTGACTCCAAGGGATGCCATAGGTAAGGGGGTTTGAAGGCTCAAAGCGGTTTTTTTAAATCTGTATATTATCAGGGGGGGGAGGGGGACGGAGGAAGGGAGGAGGGAAGGGTGCGTCTTCAGGGGTTCGCCAACGGGATCCGGAGCATAGCGGTCGATGTCTTAGCGGTCGAACTACCTCCCGCTCGATGTCTTATGTCGAAGACGTTACGTTGCATTTGACGTGACAGTGTGCTGTGTGGAGCGCAGGGCTGTTGGCGCTACAGCTGTCCCTCGGATTAGTGATATTGCTGCAGCTCAATGACTTCAGGTGGGCCGGAAAGGGGGAAGGGGGCCGAGGGCGGGGGTGGAGGGGTTGGTGGTTGGTGGTTGGTGAAGAGGAGGCACTTACTGCCTATCATGGCTCTGTGCATGCGCGTCTCCGCACATGGAGCTGCACACGTGCAGGTGTGCGGAAATTGAAGCTTAAGTGGCTCGCCCGGCACCGCGCACCGGAAATAATCCGTCATCACCGTCGCCTTCACCTTTGCGCATTCTCTCAGCAGCTTCCCGAATGCAAACCCTAGTGTACGGCGTTCTTATGTTCCGTTTCGGCCCCCGCAGCAAGGTCCTGGGAGCTTCCTCTCTGTTGCTGGTGGGGACGTACCCCCTGATGAAGAGGATCACGTACTGGGTGAGTTGGTCGGTTTCGGGGCCGACATTCCTGCTCTTTCAGGGCGTCACAATCCCTTGTGTGTGTTTGTGTTTGTGTGTGTTTGTGTGTGTCTGTCAGGACAGCAGTACGCGCAGGAGCCGCCCTTGTGTGTGCGGCACCCATTCACACTGCGGCTCAAGTACCTCTTATACCGGGTATCCGTGTACCTACATTTGCCATTGTATGGGGATCTTCGTCTGTACAGGAGTATTAGCTGCGGACGGTGTCCATCCTCCGTCTTACCTTCCTCTCCTAACCCGCGAACTCCCCACCCCCTGGAGGGGGGTTAGTCTCTTAATAGCAATCTCGCATCCTAACCGGCAATCTGCGTTGCTCCGCTTCGGATGTTCGCGCAATGTTACCCTTTCTGAAACGGTGGCGGTGTGTGTGGCTCCCTGGCGCGCGTGGTGTACTGCAGCCGCAGGCCTTCCTGGGCCTTACGATCAACTGGGGTGCACTGATGGGCTACTCCGCCGTGGCGGGCTCCTGCGATTGGTCCATTGTACTACCACTGTACGGCGCTGGAGTCGCGTGGACGTTGGTGTACGACACTATCTACGCGCACCAGGACAGGCGCGATGACGAGGCCGCGGGCGTCAAGTCGACGGCGCTGCTCTTTGGCAAGCACAGTAAGGCGTGGTTTTCGGGGTTTGGCGCCCTGACGGCGGGTTGCCTGGTGGCTGCCGGCGCCGCGGCGGGCTCGGGGATGCCGTACTACGCTGGCGTCGGCGCCATGTTGGCGCACCTGACCTGGCAGGTGTGGACCGTTGACCTGTCCAACGGACCTGACTGCATGGCCAAGTTTGTGTCCAATAAGTGGGCGGGAGGGCTCCTGCTGGCGGGCATAATAGCGGACCGGTTACTGGCTTGATGGAGTTCTTCATGGCGAGCATTGAACTTGCACTCCGTTTGACTTTGTGTGATCGGGTCTCCACACGCCCATTTGGTTATTCGTCGCAAACTCTGTCGTACGGCAGTACATGAGCTGGCCCAAAGGGGCAATGAGCCTTTCGGTCTCGCGGCACATGCATTCGTTTTATTTTCATTCAATGCTTTATTTTATATTGGGGCTGGCCACCTTGGTTTCCTTGATCTTCTCGGGAAGGAGCCTCCAAAAGTGCTAGCTCCTAATGTCCAGGGGGCCTCAAGTGTTGAGTCTTCCCCGTGCTTGTTTGGATTTGGTGCCGCGGCGGCTTTGCGCGTTATGGGCGGACTGGACCGGGGATGACACATCCGTTGGTAACATATCAAACGGGGGATATTGCAATATCAAATGGTAGCTTACAGCGAGCAGAAATAGCGGCAAAGCCGCAGATAACCTGTATCCGCGAACCCTAATGCAGTACCTTCCGCCTGCCATACCTTGCATTTACCGACCCCTATCCACATACCTGCATCCATAGCAGTTGCAGACAATACGTGTCCAATCAAGCGGAAAAGAAGGGACCAAAAAGCTACCGAACCAGTGTTGTGGTTCTTTGGCACAGGCCACGTCCCCGTGCGCAGAAGACACGCAGCCAAGGTCACAAGCACATATTCATGCATACACACGATAGCGACGACCCGGTCATCATGCGCTCATGTCTCTGATGACGCGTCGCAGGCGGTCTGCTGTGCACCCCCCTCTTGTAACTGCTAGGTGTAGCATGGCCGTCGTTGTCAAGTCAAACTACTTGATGCGATCACGTCTGCCAATGGATCTTTGGTCCACGTCATGGTCCATGTCAACATCGTGAGTGCAACGCATCACGCCCACAAGGACAAGAGTCCGAAGCCAGGGAGAGCCGTTGACTCCGCCGGTAGCAGCGGCGACGAAAGAACACAGTCAACTGTGAAGCGTAATTGGTCAAAGAGGGTCAAAGTTGTCCAAATCCACCATCACGATACTAGCCAAGTGCTTCCTAACATATACAGTGCTTCATGCATCATTGTCAGTAACTGTGGTCATTCAGTCAGTGCATTTAGGCCTGTTCTGTCACCCCTTGCCTAAACACGCGCATATGCAGACTCTGTGTCCTTCTCCTGCTCACCCACCCATTGCCCACTTGGCTTATCCCAGCCACGTGGCGCGACAACCGGTTTCAGGGCCCATGCCACAGTCATAATCGCCACGCTCACGGCCACGCACTATCTGCCACAAACTAAGCCAACACCCTAACGATCCGCGCCACACAATCACAACCTGCCATCCGCCACACGTTACAGTATACCAGCGCCTGCCCGCCCACTGCCCGCCTGCCCGCGGCCTCCCCTAGAGCATCCCGCCGGCCCTTCATGCGCCCTCTGCAAACGCAGGGTGGTTGATATACGCCTTGTCTCCGAGCGCGTGTACCGCAAGGGATTGAATGATCGCGTCCTTGGTGATAATGCCCTGATCCAACATGTACGAAATAATGTCGATGTCCTCGACCTCCTTGACAGGTGGCTTCACCACCGCCTCAACTGCCGCCGCCACTACCGCCTCGACATCCACCAATGGCTCATCCAGGGTCGGCGGCTCCTCCGGCGGCTCCTCCCCACGCTCCTCTGCCTCCGCTGCTGCTTGCGCCGCCAGCTCTTCCAGCTTGACGCGCTGCGCCTCCGCCTTCTCCTCCGCCTCTGCACGTGCCTTGTCTGCTGCGTCCGCCTTGTCTGCTTCAAACTTTGCATTCGCTGCCTCCTCTGCTTGTGCGCGCAGCTCCGCAGCCGCCGCTTCGATCGCCTCTGGTGTGGCAACCGCCGGCTTGAGCTCCCGAAGCACAAACGTCGGTCGCTGCCGTACCGCCTCCAGCTCTGCGCCCTGCAGCTGCTTCTCCAGTGCTGCTTCGCGCTCTGCCCAGGCGTCCACCGCTGCCGCAGTTGCCTTTGCCTTCTCTGCCACGGCCTCCCGGTTGGCCGCCAGGGCAGCCGTTGCGTCCTCCACCAGCCTGTTGACAACTTGCCGCGCCACAACGCCGCGTGAAAGGTAGATGATGGCCTGCTCCTTGAGCCACGGCATGAAGCCCGTCTCCACCTCGCGCATAACTGGATCGTAGATGTAGCCCGATGACACGAGACGGTCAAAGACCGTATTGACGATGCCGGTAAGGTAGCCACGTGCAAAGGCGCTGGCGGCGACCTTTTGACGGACGACGCGCTCGCGCTCGACACGCTCGCGCTCTTGCGCCATGCGGCGTTCTTTCTCCTCCAACTTGCGCCGCTCCGCCGCCTCCATGCGCTGCGTAGCCACGAGCTCGGCGTTGCGGATCTGCTCGAATTGCTCCTGGTGTGCCCGCATGGCTGCGAGCTCCTCCTCTTCCAAGACCTCCATAAGGCCCTGTTCCAGTACCTTGCCCACCAACACCTCCAGGATGGGCTCCACCTCGAAGTCAAAGTCAAAGAGATCGCCTGCATGTGCGTGCGGCAAATGGGGACACGGTCGTTCAGGAGGGCCAAATGGAAGTGTTCAGGAAAGGGCAAGCCCGAGGGGGTCTGCGAAGTAGCTTGAGGTGTAACCGTTGGGACAGGGGACGGCAATTCATAGGGAAAAGCGTGCACGACACATGACCCAAAATCTGTTTCTTTCAATAAAGTCCTATGTGGCGATACGGTGTACTAAGGACCCTCGGCGCAGCGGTGAGGTGGCCTCACCGTTCTCAATTTGCGTAACTGCGTCCGTGCCAGTCTTCTGAGGCACGAACAACGGCGTCGGCGGCCGGTCTAGGAAAGCATCTGTCTGCGTTGAAGTGTCAGCCTCAGGCACCGTGTCTGTCAGCTCTTCCAGGTATACGTCCGTCTGAATGTCGATGTGCCTTCGTCCCTCCACTGCCTCAGGCGTCCGAGGCGGGACGGACCGCGTGGTTTTCTTCTTCCTGTCAGGATTATTGCAACAAAGGTTAACCGTTGTGAGCAAAAGCTTGAAGTGGAGGACCCCAAGCGACCCGGTTCTCACGTTGCAGGGGGACTCGGCTTGGTCTGCGTCTGGGATGCGTCTGCCGGAAGGATACGGGCTGCATATGTATTTCCTCTGACGACGCGGCGATCAAACATAATGTTGGCGGTAGGAAGCGGCACGCCATCATCCTCGCGATACTGCATTGTGGGACGCGGGGCAGGAGTCACATTGAGAGCACCTTCAATTAAAGTTTTAGCTTTGTCCCTTCGCGAGTTCCAGAAAACACTCACCTTTGCGCGCCTTTGTTGGACGGCCTTCGGTTCTGCCGCGTGGGTATAGAGCTGCTGCTGCGCTTTCGTGTTCACCATGTTTGAAGGCTTCTACAGACGTTTCACAGTGGGTAAGCCTCAGGCGCCGCAATCGAAAATGCCAAGCTCGAAATCCCCAACAACAGTAGAGAATTGAAACGTTTAACAATGTCCTAGATAACAGAGTTGCTTATTTCTTTGGATGTAACTGAGTAAAATTACGGGTGCAAGCTAAAGGAGCATGGAATGGTTGTTGTCTAAGGAGCCAAAGCAGCCCAGGACGAGCGCGCCGTACTTACCAGCTTCCTTCCTGACTTTAATGCCCACTGCAAGTTGTCTTGCAGTCCTCCCTCCTTGGGAGTATTAGATCCCCGCGAAGTAAGGACTCTTGCTTCTGTCCTGGACATCCGGTACCTTTGAGCTAGGAAATGCTTCTACTTGAAAGTACGAAGAGAAGAATCATAGAGGTTGCAATGAATTTGAGTATTATTTTTCCATGCGAGCAAACAATATAGATGGTCGCAGGTTTTCTATACAGTGCTGTGTCTCTTCGAAACGAACTGCTCCGACGACGCTATGTAATTCAACTCTACGTTTAAAATACCTGTTGGCAGCGTGATAAAGATTTAAAGAAAGGGTCCTGCGTCACGCATAAAAGTGGATGTTGCTTATGGAGCGTCGTCCGGAAAGCCGTACAGGGTTGATTGTACACTGGAGATAATATTGCTGACGCGCACGCTCTGCAACCTGAAGCAGTGTTTATGACAATGTTTTCAACACGGCTTCCCATGCATCACCGGCCATCTGCAGCACGCCCTGTCGGGGTCAGCGGACAGGGTAGGCCTTCAGTAATTCAACGCGCCACCTCAATGCCAACTGTTCAACTAACAGTACAGACAAGAGAGGGACAAAGCTTGAACATTTCCGTGGAATCTGGTGATATCCTGCGAACTGTGCTGATGGCGGAGAAAGTTGACCTCTACACTACCTGGGGCAAAGTATGGCAGTGCGGCGGTGTCGGCAATTGTGGTACATGCATCGTAGAGGTAATCATACTGGAGTCCGCAGATCAGGCTTAGGCGCAAGTGGGGCAAGCAACCCGTCGCAGCCTTCCTCATTCCTCATGCCTGGGTACCTACCTGAATATGACATGAACTCGCTATGGGCCCAGGGTGCAGGAGAATCTCAGTAGCTCAGGGAGCCGCTGCAGGATACCAGGCGTAGGTCGATATAGCACCGCCCTATCAGTAACGCGACAACACCTGCCAGCGTCGCGACGACCTGCACCCGTCGCTGATCCGGAATTCAGTTCGCGGCGGTCAGTAACCGTCAGATGAAAACCAGAACACACGCCATTTGGAGGCGGGTGTCAAAAAGCCACACACGGCACAGGCCTACAGCAGCCAGGCGGAAGCCGCACAGCCCCTGCATCGTGCTGCTACCCCAGCTGCAGCCCCTGCCGCCTCCGCTGCTGCGCTGCGCACCATTGGCGCCTCACAGAGGGACGGCTTTCCCCTGCAATTCCGTCCCACAGTGAAACTCCCTCCCACTCACTGCCGCCCGCAACCTGTCGTTTTCTGTGGATTCTCTCTCCAGCGCCTGAACAGGCACCTTCCTTTCCTGGCCCCACCTAAAGATGTTCAATTTGGAAAAATAAGAGAAGATTAGAGAGATTAGATGGCCTAAAGGACTCTCTCCATGCCCACGTGTCTTCCCAGTGGCCCCATCCTCCCGGTGCTCACTCTTCCGCCGCATAGCACTCTACGACCCTCCCCACCGGCGGTGCGGTGTGGTGCGATTGCACAACCTAGGATGCCCGCTGCATCCTCTATGAGCTGCTGCCCTAACGGCCTTGGAGCCTCCATCATCGCCTGTGCCGTGGTGCGACACGGCCGTCTGCCACCACCTGCTTTCCAGACTCATGAATCATCGTCGCCTTTGCATGGGACTGCTGAATGCCCCCCTCCCTGTGTGTGCTTGTCTCCTGTGCGCCTATCCATTGCTCAGGTGCGGGACGGCGCTGAGCTGCTCTCGGAGCGCACGCCAGTGGAAAAGAAGAAGCTGTCAGGGGTGAGCCGAGCAGCTTGAGCTGCTCTTGCATTCACACTGTCACAGCCGCAGCCGCGAGTTCCAGCCCGCCCACCCAACCTCCCACCCAACCTCCCCGCCCTCCCGGGGAGGAAGGCTGCGTACAGCTGGGCAAAACATTTATGGCATACAGATGAAGATTGGTTGGCAATGTGCTTTGGAGGCGTTTAGGGTTCTCGTTCGACACGCGTCACTGCGCACTGTCTGTGCGTGCGACGGACTACTCTCTAGCAGGCCCCTGCGGCGTGTCGTGTAAGTAAACTGCGTGCTCCCAACCCCTGCCCGGAAATACCCCTTCTCCCTCTCCCTCCCCTTCCTTTTGCACGATCAGAAACCCGCCACGTGGCGCCTGGCCTGCCAGACCCTGGTGGGCGACGGAGAGAGCACCGGAGTCGTCACCATAGCCACCAAGCCCCAACAATGATGGGGTGTGCCTCTGCTGCTGAACCGTTTGGCATCCCCGTGCATCACCGCCTGCCCGCCCACGGGCCCGTGGACCACGTCCATTTTAAATGGCAGTGCGCCGTCGGGGGTCCAATCACTGCAGCGAATGCAGGCAGGCAGTTGGCGGTACCGACAAGGCATGGACGTGGTGCAGGGGCCTGCGCCCTGGTCCCCAGCCGCTGGTGGCGGTGGCGCTGGTAGTGGTGGAGTTTCGAGGCACAGCTCGCGGCCCAGGCGGGAAGGGTTTGCCTAGTCACGCGGGGCGGGCGGCGTGTGGCACCGCGGCAATGGTGATGGGAGAGCATATGGATGTGATGGCGTCTCGTCATGTGGATGTGGGTCTGTAGCGGTGTATCAGCCTGAGCCGGCTGAGCAGTGCTTGCTGTGCCTGGTTGGGGCCGCTTTGGGATCGTATGGCTCGGGGAGAGAGGGGCTTGCGGGGCTGCGGGGCGGGTCCTTGGAGCCCCGCAGTGTGGCGTGGCTGACGTGTTTTGCGGGAATACCTTCCGCTTCTCTCTCCTGCTTGGATGTGAGTTAGGGTTAGCCACCAGAGCAACAACGACTCCATCACCCGTGATGGCTGATGCGGCGCTCAGTTTGGTGTGTGCGAACCGGGTTTTTCAGGTGAAGAAGCGGAGGAGATGGGAAATGAGTGACATTTGGCGGTGATCTTGGACGGAAGAGGGGAGAGGTTTTTCCTGCCGTGCGGCTGCAAACAGCTCGATGGGCAAGTTAGAGGAGCGTAGAGGGAAAGAGAATAGAGTTGATACCTAAGTTGAAACACCAGTTCGACGGTGAATAATGGCGCAGAGGAAGATATCTCCTGCTTTGGCCGTGGTGCTGAAGCATTTGTTCGTGGGAGTGAGCGCAGTGGCTTCGTCTGACCGAGAATATCGGCTAGACTATAGAGACAGGTCACAGCTCGATGAGGGAATGCGCACACGTTTATGGAAGACGGCTGTCGTAATACCTAAAGCGATGCGGAGAGTTAAAGCGTTTTGCTTGCTGAGAGGATGAGACCTGCGCAACCTGGCCACCCGGCAGCAGCGTGTTGCACGCTTGACGTGGTGTGGGGAGTTATCTTCAGTTTTTTTACTATTTACAAAGTAAACGAGGGTGCAGCAGCAACCCAATTTGTTTTTGACTTTTTTGGCTTTTATTTAATGCCCTGATTTGATGTAACAACTTGTACAACGAACTTCGGTTGTGCCGCGCGCTGATCCTGGACGTGCGCGCTCACATCGCTCACCCATTAGGGATTCAAATGGTGCGCACACAAGGTTCCTCAGGCTAGGGGAAGTGAGAACGATTGCTGGGCAAAGTGTAATTTGCAAAGCGGAGACCAACGAACTTTCACGGCTGAGGACCAGACGTAAAGGGTCATCGTTTGCTCTTGGGAATGCAAATAGTTGGCTCTGTCATGTGCATGTTGATGCAATCCCTCGCTATTGCTCAGTTGCGGTACTGCGTCGCCTCCGATCCTCGTCGGTTGGGACGGACTCCTAGGTGCCGTCTACTCGAAGCATGTACAGCATGGTGCTTCCATGTCCCATAATTCATGCCATGAATTGACTACCGTACCTTGACTCACGTCTACCGTATGCTTTTCATTGGTATTCGGCTTGGTCGCAATTTCATTGTAAGCGCAAGGTGCTTTGCACTTTATCACAATTAAATTATTTTTTTAATTAAGTGGCTTTTCATTGGGTATGATACCAGTTTCGTGTTCTGTTTTGTGTCTGCGATGAAGTGGTTGCTCTTGGGATGCTTCCAAGGAAGTCACAAGCCACATGCAAAGGATTTTGAAGGGCCTCAGCCGCTCGTGACCTGTGCCCCACCGCACGGCCATGCAGTAAACGCGACGAGCACTGATACAGCACCAGGGAGCGCCGCGTTACCGCAACCTCACAATCTAGGGGCTGCTTCAACAGTCCCTGCAAGGCTTTCCTCAGGCCAGGAGGCAAGAAACCGTGAAGGTGGCACATCCAGCAGCGATGTGGATGCGCTGGGCAACCATGGCCAGGCCGACTCCGTCCAGCGCGCACGCATTACTGCAAATCAGGCCTCTGTTGAAGCCCAGGAAGCGCCTGCACTGCGGCTCAGTCTGGACTGCGGCGTGGGTATCGGGCCTTCAACGCCCGACCCCCCATCTCCGTCGCGACCGCCCAGCACCAACCTCAGCTTCTCCCGCCTTCCGGCTTCTGCCAACACAAACTCAATATCCTTCATGATGCGTGGCAGCGTGGACACGGCCAGCGCAGAAACCGGTGCTGAATCCTTTAGGACGTCTGACAGCAGCAGTGGAGCGTTGGTCGTTCGGGGCAATGCCGCCGCTTCGGTGTTATGTGGCGACCAGCCCGGGGATGCGCCCATGAGCGCCGGCTCACGGCATCTAGTTTCCCGCGCATTTCGCGGCCGCGCCAGCTTGGATGCCTTACTCATGCTGGGCGCGCTTGTTCGCGCTGCGGATGAGGCAGGTCTGGCAGTAACCGGCATGGGTAGCTCCCCCCGTCTGGAGCGCATTGAGAGCGGCGACCTTCCGCCAGGGGAAGACGGACATCTAGACAGACAGCCGCAGCCGCACCACCCGCGCCAGAAAGGACCTGCAGCCTCGGCGACAACAGCAGCAACAGCAGCGGCAGCAGCGGCGGCGGCGTCTGCGGTGGTGGGGGAAATGCGAACGGAGTGGCGCGCCGAAGCGGGGCCGTCTGCGGGGCCGCGGCTGGCTCCGCGACCGCAGCGACGTACCTTGCGCTGGTCGCAATCCGCGCTGAACGGCAGTATCAGTGGTGATTGGGCCCCCGGCGGCGGCAGAAATAGAAACGAATGTAGATGCGGAGGCGGAGGTGGAGGCGGAGATGTAGGATTGTGTGAGTCTTCGCTATCTGGCGGTGTGGGCCCCGCCGGCGCTCACGCTGCCACCGCTGCCTGCGCCAACACCAACGGCGCCGCGCTGGTTCCCACGGGCAACCCCGACTTCACCTTCTCGCCGCCTACCGTAGGCGGCAGCTTGCGTCAGAGCGTGGACAACAGCCGGGGCCAGCACTCGGACGCAATCCTTAGTCAGCTGCCGTACATGTACGGACAACACCACGGTCAAGTTCAGGGAGGGCTCGGAGGTCACTTGGCCGAGAACAGTCAGATCCTTGATTTGTTCATGCGGTTGGTGACCAACTGCTCGACCGTTGGGGACAGCGACCTGCCGAGCAGCTCTGGCGGCTGCGATAGGAGCTCCGCCGGCACGACGGGTACGGCAGGCGCCGCGCACGGCGCCAGAGCCGGCACGGCCACAGGCGCGCTGCCGCTGCAGCTACCGCCGCCGTCGGTGCGGCCGCCGGGAGGGTTAGCGGCGCCGGCGGTGGGACACCGGAAGCCGCCGCATGTGCAGCGGAGCGCCAGCGAGCGGCATCGTCACGGAAATGGCCGCCGCTGGGCTGGTGTCGAAGGCGCCGGCGGAGGTTCTGCCCATTCGGCAGCGACGGCAGCAGCAGCCGCTGCCGCTTTGACAGCACTCAAGTCGCATGAAGGCGGCAGCAGCGCACCGCTTCTCAAGCTGCACGGCAACCACGGGAACCTGCTTGCCGGCGGCGGCTCCAACCCCAGCGGCAGCGGCGGTGGCTACCGGCGCAACAGCTGGGACACGCTGGGGGGGTCATCCGGAAGCGCCATGGCGGTGGCGGCGGCAGCTGCCGCCGCGCTGGCGGCGACCGGTCTCCTGCGTGGCTCTGCCAGTAGCCGTACCGCCGCCACCGCCACCGCAGCCGCCGCCGCTGCTGGCGGCAGCACCTCCGGCAGGACGACCGGCAGCGCCAGCATGTTCTGGCCTGTGGGCGGGGTGTTCCAGGAGGACTCCGGGCCGGCCAGTATGCTGCTGCTGGGCGCCCTGTCCGGGGGCATGTCGCTGGGTGGCAGCGCCACCTCCCTGGTGCAGCTGCCCACGGGTAGCGGCAGTGTGAGGGACGTGCTGTCCCGCATACAGCAGCAACAGCTCTCACTACAGGAGGTCAGAGCAAGCGCGTGCGCCACCCGTGTGTATGTATGTATGTATCTATGTATGTATCTACGTGTCTGTACATGTAGTTCTCTATTTCCGTACACGTCAATACGGACGGATCATAACCCGGTACGAATCCCCCAATGAAATCCGTACTTTTGCTTTCTATTGACTCGCATCCCGCCTGTATTTACTGGTCCCGTCCAGGTTCAATCCACTCCTAGCCCCCAGTCCCCTCCCTCCCTCGCTGACCTCACCTCCACCGCCCCTCCACCTTCTCCCGCCTCTCCCCTCCCTCTTCTCCCCTCCCTTCCCCCCTCCCCGGCGGCTGCAGGGCGGCGGTCCAGCCGCCACCAGCTCCAGTAGCTGGTCCGCACAAACAGGCCTGGCCTCCCTGTTCGACGCGCACCTGACCGCGGCACTGCGCCGCAACGGGGCGGTGCGCACCTTCAAACGGGCGCTGGGAGGGGTCGCCAATCTCAGCCAGACCTCCTCAGTCACCAGCCAAGTAACGGGTGCGCGCTGCCGGGACCGCCGGACTGTATGTATGTATGTATGTGGGGGGCCGCCTGGGAAAGTGATTCTTCGTGTGCGTGTAAATTGCATCGTCACAAACCCCAGTGCGGACCAGCGGGTCAACGTGTTTGTGTTTTGTTGGTGCCGAAGCGCAGGCCGCCCAGAGAACCCAGCAACGTCCATTGCAAGGGGATGGCAGTGTGGCCGTGTTGGGGTAGAAGTAGTACACCGCCGGCCTACGTTCCGCCATCCCGTATAATAGCATGCTCCTATGCGCATCTGTGTGTGAGAGGGGGAGAGTATGTATGTGTGTGTGTACGAGTGTGAGTGTGCATGTCCCCGTACATTTTGTGGCAGCTAGGTTCAATCCCCTTTCCGGAGCGGTGTCGCCAGTGTACTGCACTGTACTGCAGTGTTAGGATCCAAAACTGGCCTTTTTTCACCGGTTAATTAATCCTCCGGTCCCGGTC